AACTAACCTAAGGCAATGATGGACTTAATGGATTAAGTCCTTAATAGATTAAGTCCTTAATGGGTTAAGTAGGAGCACTTAACCCTAATCGCCATTTCATGTGAAAACCCTAATTTCACTTGGGCCTTGAGTTGGGCCTTCTTATTAGGCTTTGGCGATTGGACTATTGGTGGGCCATCCAAGAACAAGATAATGGACCAAAGTAATTAGATGGGCTTTAGGATAAGGCCCATGTGAGGACTTGGGCCCAATTTGGAAAATTAGGCCATAGATGGGCCAGAATTGAGCCTTTATAATTATTGTTGGGTTATGAGCATTCTAACACTCCTAAGTGTACATGCAACCCTAAATACCGTGGATCTATGTTTTCTCTATTATACATGCAAATATGAATATTCCAAGGTATTACCCTAACTAGCATACAAAACATTGATACTTGGGTAATAAACTAGATAGAAATACATACCTTGTTGATGTAGCTTGACTCCATGAAGCTCGAGAGCCTAGTGCCCCAAGTGTGACACCTCAAATGGTTCACACAACATCACCAATACATGGAATAACCATGAGAAGAAGACACTCATGCTCAAATCGGCTAGCCCTCATATATGTATCACTAGTGCCAATTTCTTGAGCTAAAGGGGTCCTTATATAGTGTGCACATTAGGGTTACACCATGTAACCCATGACTTTACCCATTCCTTATGATCCATGGGTTTTAACCTCCATGAAGTATCCATGGATCACCACATGGGTTAAACCCAACATAAGGAATCATGGATCATAATCCCACATATATAAGAATGAATGATTTACACAATCAATCCCCATATATTTAATTAGTCTCTTTTTGATCACTAAATTAAGTCCAAATTAATTCTTGATCAATACTAATTAAATAACATGATTTCATATTAATATATTAGAACTTATAATATATTAATATGTCACAAATGTCTTCTCCTCACAAACGGTCTATCCAAATGTTCCGATGCCATGCAACCCAAATGGACCATGCCGAGTCGGGTCAAGTACATACCAATTATAGTTATGGACTTAGACACTAATCCAACAATTATGTGATATTGGGCCATGAGAATTGGATTGGAATAATTGGATGGGCCTTAAGGAAAGACCATGTAGAGGTCTGGGCCCAATTTGGAAAGTTGGGCCATATGTTTGGCTTTGACCCATTATATGACTTTTGGGCTTTTGTAGTGTGAGTTGGACCTTGGGCTTGGAACCTAATTATTAATTGGGTATTGTTTGATATTGACAGTTCGGGGATCTGTCAACCAGCAGCTGGAGTTTTATCTGCGGGACTTCAGCGGTGCCAGGTGAGTTATCCTCACTATACTAAAGGGTCTAAGGCACCAAGGTCGGCCCACTGGATATGTTATCCTATCAGTGTTAGATGTTGGGTATGAGTTAGTGTTGCATGCTAGTGGTTATGCCAGTTAGGTAGATCTGTAGGACCACCTGTGTTGTTATATATGATTATATGCATGCCCAGTAGTTATGCTATATGTTGATATGTAATGGGAGATGGGTTGAGGTGATGCTTCTCCGTGCGGTAACCAACAAACCCGGGAGCATTCCAGATACGAGCTGTGGGCCCGGTAGGCAATCCAGACTCGTACTGTGGGCTCGGTGGCAATCCAGATGTGAGTTGTGGGCCCGGAAGGCAATCCAGACTCACACTGTGGGCCCAGTGGTAATCCAGTAGGTGGAGCATTCCAGATACGAGCTGAGTGAGACCCGTACTGTGGGCTCGATGGCAATCCAGATGTGAGATGTGGGCCCGGTAGGCAATCCAGACTCATACTGTGGGCCCAGGGGTAATCCAGTCTGTAAAGCTGTGGACCCATTAAATGTTGTTCAGTTTGTTATGTTATGATATTGTTGATATTGTTATGTGGACTGTATGTGTATCGGTATTTTGGGGGTAACTCACTAAACTTTCGGACTTACAGTTTCAGTTAATTGTTTCAGGTACATCACGGGATCGTGGCAAGGCAAAGGCGTGATCGTACAGCTCCTCACTTTTTATGACTTTGTTTCTGGGATACTCTGATATGATACATTTTGAAAACAAGTTTGTAATAGTTAATGGATTTGAAATGTTTTTAAAAGTTTAAATTGGTTCGAATTTTTCGGGTGTTACATTCATGAACATAAACGAATGAAAATTAACAGCGTAATTTGTTAAACGAACGAACATGAACAATAAAACTTGTTCGTTTATCTGTTCGCGTTCGTTCGTTTGTTTGAATCACTTTAACGAACGGACATTATCAACCCTCGTTCGTGTTCGTTCGGTTCATTTACAACCCTAGACGTGCATTATGAATGATTTCATCATAAAGCGTCACAATAAAATATATTATGATTCTCTTCACACAATGCTAAAAAGTAGTTGCATATTGATGTTTATATATTTATCTATACTAGTATGATGTTGAGAATACCGATGTTGCATCATGCCACAAAAACCTTAATGAATGTTCTCATCGTTGCAGTTCATTTATATGTCGATAATATCTAGATGTCATAAAAAATATTAGAGGTTTGTGTATTATAATGCATTAATCATGAACGATATTGTCAAATAATTCATGTTGACTCATAATTACACATTGTTGCCTAGCTAAACTCTTTTCGAAATTAAATTAGATGTTTTATACACCTTTCATGTTTCCCATAACAACTTTCCAATGGTCAAATTTGTAGTCCTAACCTGTAAATTCATGATCAAAAGTTCTAATGACAAACAAGTGATATGCATTTTGAAAGATATGTAGAATGACCATATTAGATATGCTGGCTAATTTACTAATCTCCAACAGGTATTCCTTTAACCTTATTAAAAAATATGACCACAGTTCCCTACTCCATAGGTTAGGGACAAGATTTGATGGTTCCCTTCCATGGAAACCACTAAGAATATGGTTTCTAAGTAGTTTCCTTAAAGGGCACTGTTTATTAACATCAACAATCACAAACAATTTAGAAACGCCTAAATGTACCAAATATTGGACCATTAATCACAACAATTAATCAAACTTGAATTGTAACTAGTATTGTATTATAAATGAATCTTACCATGCTACCAATGATGAAAATTAAAAACTCAAACCAATTGAGACTCATGTTTCTTGATTTGGGTAACTGTTTTGAGATTCATCTTTTTATGGATTGTATGTGTTGACATGGAGGCTGTAAAAACTTTCTTCATAGATTTGGTTTGATGAACTCATGTATAACAACAACAAAATTTTGCTCAACATATACTGTATCATTAGTGCTTGATATTACTTTGTCAAAACCTTAACAAATACATATAAAGTCCGAAATTACATCTGAAATATACTTTCTAAAAACGTTGTCCAAAATTAAGAGTACGACACTACTAGAAAAACAGCCTTTTACGAAGCGCAATGCGTGTCGTAAAACGCTCAGACGATGCGCAAATGCGTGTCAAGAAAGGCCTTGTCATAACGAGAGACGACACGCTTTTGCGCGTCGTCTATAGACGACGCGCATTTACGACGCACATTTATGACACGCAATGCGTATCATTAAAGCCGCTGTCAAGAAAGGCCATGTCATAAATGAAGATGACACACATTTTTGCGTATCGTAATTTTAAATTTTTTTAAAAAAAAATTATTTGTAGATTTACTAATTTTCAAATTAAATTTGCATTTCATGTCTCATAATAGAAAATAAAATACCATATACAAAATATACAATCCATTGCACAAAAGTTAATGTCATACAAATAATCATTCCAATAGTAGACAAATGTAATACATCAAATGTGAAAGAGATGAAAGTCATCAACAAATAATAGTTGAACTATAAGAACTTGTTGCCCGCCTTCACAACATCCGAGCTACTTTGCTTGACACTATGCACATTAACAAGACCTACAAATTTGAATAATGCAACCATTAGATTCACATAAACCAACAAATCCCAATATGTAAAAATAAGCCAAAAAAAAAACAAAAATAACTTTAAGAATGGGGTAATGAGGTAAAATATGAGGTTGAAAGTACCTGGCAACCAAATTTTAACATACTAGTTCCTGTACAATCACCCTTCAAAGAACCAAAAAAATATGAGATAATTATGATAAGTATCATTTTAAATAAAAAAAATTACAAATTAATATCACCGGTAACAGTGTCAGGCTGCAAAACATTAAAAAAGTGATTCTATAATCTAATTAATATTTTATATTTTCACTTCAATACTAATACGATTGTTTTATTATAAAAATAATCAAAAATTCACAATTTACTCAGATCTTCCATTTTCTGCAGTTGTGGGAAACTAGACCCTATAGTTTTCAAGTCACTGGTCCTTCTGTAACACAAGAGTAATATTAAATATTTTTCATGTTAGATATATTAGATAAAGGAATCACTAAGTTTGTATATTCATAGAGGAAAAAAGGTAAAAAAGAATTGCATACAGATCATTTAATTTTGTTAACATAGAGATGCTAGAAGGAATTGTCCCCTCAAGAGAACAACCTTGTAGATGCCTGCATTATTAAAAACAAAAATATTGACATCTTTTAGATTAATACATCTCTAGAAACCAAAAGAAACCTCCAACATGAAAAATATTTAATATTGTGTTTTTAGTTTGTAATATATTCATAGCGCAAGTTTCAGGGTTGTACTATATTTCAGTGCAAATACTTCCAAATTTGTAATTAGCTAAGTCTACTAGTTAGGTAATGTGCGTTTATATAGAGCTGTTTAATCATGGTCTTTGCTTCCTTTAAGCATAACACATCTCATACCTAATTATGACATAAAAAACATGGATTATGAAAAAAAGGAATCAGAAAACGTTCATTAGAACTAAACTAAAAATGAAATTCTCACTAAAAGGTAGAATCTTTTACCTCTTGGAAAAGCACCCATCCATATATAAAGCATCATGCATCTTCTGAGTTATGCCTAATGCACCCCAAGTTAACTTGATTACAACTGAGAACTCGTAGTTTTCAGAGCTGAGAACTCCTCGCCAACAGAATTCTGTGAATAAAGATCATTATTGTCTCTAATAATTAATGTAAAAAATTTACATAGATAAACATCATTATGTATTAAGTTCTCACCAAACGAATGCCTTCATCAATCACATTTTTATAACCTCTTTGAGGGACTGAAGATGTTATGAGTCAGTAAACAAGAATTATATGTTGATTGAAAACAATCACATGACATGTATTGGACTAACCACACCACCCCTCCCTCCCTCGGTAAAGAACTACAGAGTGACCGGACTTTTGGGTCCATACAAGGAGTGGGAGACGGAGGCTGCCTGTTAACAACTTTTTTGGTTTTAAAATGTGTTACTGTCAATAAGAATTACAGCCAGCTGCCAGCCACTCTTACTTTGTTGTACATATTTGGTCAGTAATTGCATACCCTCTAATGAATACAACCAGACAGCATCACCTGCATTACCAGAAACACACTTTAAGCAAGACTCCTCCTCAAATAAGTAATAAGTAATAAACTAATGACAATACCAATTCATTTAATAATCTCAAGTCTTACCCCCATAATAGTAAAATACTACATCAGATCAACATGTGACATCTCGAAAATAGCCGTTTTATTTCATCATAAAACCATCTGCACACACAATCAATCATAATCATATGAATATGATGTAATTTATAAAAGAAAGCAATTAAATCAACCCACCCAATATATAACTACTTGGAGGAAGATCCTCACATGGCCCATGAATCAACCCAGCCAATATATAACTACTTCAATCATATTAAAGTAAGCTTTTGGATCTTCTTTAATGTTGGGCTAACTTCAATCATGTGTATGTTTAGGGATTTTGTGAACTTCTCAAACTTTGAAGCACCCTATGGTTAAATATCAGATTCCCCATATTATTAATGTACAATTATCAACATATATGGGAAAAAAGAAAATAAAACCTAAAGCTAGCATAAAATTAGTAGTATACTCTTAGAAGATCAGCCATGAGAGTTCCTCTTCCTGGCCCAAACTCAACTAGATTGACTCTATTTGGTTGCCCCATTTGCTCCCACAAACACGTTGCCCAAACACCAACCATCTGAATCAAAAACAGCATGACAGGTTAATAATCAAATATTTTTGTGGTAAACTTTGATTCAGGAATAACATATTTGTACATTTCCAACAGAAGTTTGAATGATAAATGAGTAAATGACTAGTTCGAAGTTTGAAGAATGGGTATGGCATCAAATTACCTCTCCAAACATTTGGCTTACTTCAGGGGATGTTATGAAGTCACCTTCTGCACCAAAAACATCCCGATTGATATAAAAACCAGCCTTGGGATTTATCAGGACTTCTTCCATGTACTCAACAACTGATATTAGGCCTCCTCTGAACTGTAAGATAAATAACCAAAACTTGTTATAAAGATGAAAACAAAGCCAAAAGAAAGTGAAGAAATCAAACCAACTAACAAACAACATCCTAAAAGCTGAATGCTCCCTGAGTTCAAGAAGAGTGCCCAAATTGACTCTTATGGGTTTCCATTTCAAAACCATTAGTTAAGAGATACATGTGATAAACCATTTAACAGTATGATGTAAGCCAATTAATAATTCAGGTGAAAGTTGGCAAAAGATAGGATTAATATTGATTAAAACAAAAACATATTAATATTCATTATAAAACCAATAAAATTGAAGGGATTTTCACATTTAAATATATATCAGGCCGAATTGTTTGTTTCCATGGTCGTAAACACCAAATGGGAGAAAGGAGTTGCAGTAGAGGAGAAATTAGCCAGAAAAGAGAGCTCAAATATCTGAACTAAGCTGTTAAAAAATTATTACCTCAAATGGAAGCATAAATTATGATATGAGATGGATAATAACTGATGCTCTCTTCCTTTTACACAACCTGGTAAACAATAACAACTGAAAAGGAGCATTAATATGATAGAAGAAATTGACATCCAATATCAGATACATTCTGTTGACTTGTACATGTACTCCATCCTTCAATTCTAGTTACCTAAGATCAGGGATTTATAGATATCCCTTCCTCCCAAAAATTTAGGGTTGGCATAAGTAAGGTTAGGAAAGTTCTTGAGGTCCGAAAACCCTAAATCACTGAACAATTTCACCACACATACAATAATATGTTTTTAACTAATTAAATCGCTTATGCGCATGCTATGAGCGTGAATAATCGAGTATCCAGAAGGAATACCAAATAAATGGACTATCGTATTGGACCAATTAGACAAACGGTGGCAACAGGGTAGCAAATCGGCGTTCAAAAACGTAAAATTGTCGACCCAAACTCCAAATTGCGATCCTAATCACGTATTGGACCAATTCCGATCGCTAAAAACACGTTCTAGCAATCGATTTTGCCACTCAGTGGGATTGTGGAGTTTCCGTACTGAAGTACGTTTCTGCTAACAATCGGAACGATAACATACAACAATTAGGAACGAAAAACGTTCAAAACGTGGATCGTGGCTGATATAGCGATCCCTGTAACTATGATATTAGCGCATATTAAAGTTATAATCCATCAAGGGAGAAGAAGTTAGGGTTTGGGGAAGAGAATGTAGGAGAAGAAGGCGATTGAGAGAGATTACAAAATCAGACGAAATCTAAAACTTAACCTTAAACATGATGTGAAGCGATTGATCCATAATCTTCTTCGTCTCGTCATTTCCTTGGGCTCATATAATTGGACGATGGTAGTAAATTAAGCGTTCTTCGAGAAGGAAGGTGCATCGCCGCAGCCTGAGGCTAGAAGAGGCAACGGTGATTGGAAGCAGTGGATGTGGGTGAGAGGTAGAGACGAGGGAGGGGAGACATGAGACACAATATGGAAATGAATGTAGGAGAAGAAGGCGGGGTTTAAAAATTTTGGGGATTTCATTTTCCCTCTAACGAGACGCGCGTTTCTTAAAAAAAATATAAAACGACATTCATAGAGGACGCACATTTTAGATAAAGTGCCCTCCGTGTTTTTTACTTTTTTACAAGAGACACTAATTTAAGGGCACGCAATAATGCGTGACCTAAATCCTTAATTTTTTTTTGAAGAGATGACACTTTTTTAATGTCACTCTCTTTTGCGTAATATAAATCAATGAGTGTCGTGATTTGCACGTCGTAAAAGGGTCTTTTTCTTATAGTGCGGAACACTTTAAGTTCCATATTGTCATAAAACCAACTATCAGATACAAATTTTCTTTAGTTCGAAACAAAACTTTTTCGAAATGATAGTTGTATATGCAAACGTCTAAAACATTGGTCATTTTCATATATTCCACAATAACATTTGATCATTTTTTATGAGTATCTTTATTTTATTTTTATTTTTTTTAAACATTTGATCATTTTTATGAGTATCATTATTTTGTGTTTTTCTTCTTTTTTGTTTGAATAAGAAATAAAAATATTTATAAATATGAGAAAGACTGTAATAACAATTGACTAGTAACATGTAGTTACAAAGCAGATGAATTTAATCAAATACCATAATTAGTTGT